GAGAGAGAGAGAGAGAGAGAAAAGCAGGGCGGAGACCGAGCGACTTGGTGGAGAAGGAGATGCATCTTGCCGACCAGATGCTGCGCGACGACTAAGGCGGATGGTGACGGTAAAAGGTGGAGAAGATCCACGGAAGAACCGTGGATGGCGGGCGTTGTTGATCGACGCTGCTTGCGCATTCCTGGCGAGGACTAAAGGAATAACGTCGCTAAAGCGAAGGTAAACGATTCCTCAGCGTCAACGAGTTCACTGAGAGAGGGGAAAGATCCTTGGCTGGAGAAGTAATTCGATATAGAAGAGGCGCGTGCTTCGTTCTGATCAACGTGGATTCTTCAGCCCTTCTATCTCTCTCTCTCTCTCTCTCTCTCTCTCTTGCGAGCGATTATCCGCGCAAAATCGTAGCTGACGGGCCCGAGAGATTAAACGTGTATTTAAAAGTAGATAAGTTTTTTCTTTTGGAGAACGAGAAAGGGATGTTTCTTCGTGTATTTGTTTTTTTTTCGTTTTCTTACACGTGTATCTTATCTTTTTAATAAGTCTAATGTACAAATATACAGAGATTTTAAATACACAGAAATATACGTCGTCTGTACGTTATACAAACCTGGACGTTTTTGGTGAACTCGTTGTTGCAGTAGATGTGGACGGCGGAGAACTCTCTGACTTTGTCGAACTCGAACTTAATCTCGACCGGCTGTCCGCGGCTATCGTTCCTCCAACCTACCCAGCCCTGGGCGCGATCGTTCTCGTAGTACATTTTGAAATTGTCAGGCCCCGTTCTACCGTCCGTCAGCTGACCCAGACCGCGGCGCAGCTCGCCATCCCAGTGTCCGTCGTAAGTCGCGTCGAAGAATTCCCATGTACCCCTTTTATCGCCCTGAGGCATTGAGTACGACACCACGCCGTCTACGGAAGCAAAAAAGTCAAGATACGATGTTGACCCTTCTATCGACGGCGCGATATCGTCGTCTATTTGTTGTGGGAGCGAGTTACACGACTCTTATACTCTTTTTACGGCGAATATATGTGTATACCGCACAAGAGAAAACTTTCACCAAGAAGAAAATAACAACAGTCAATGTGTAATTTTTTGATAAAAGACTTAAAATTTTTGTAAAAAACAAACACGATACGATAAGAAGTATCATAGTATTAATTACGTGCTACGTATAAAAAAAAAATCAAATTTTGAAATTATATAATTGTATTTTGAAATCAAGTAATGTTGAAATATAATATATAATTATATCTATCGTATATATTTTGAATAGGATGCTCTTCATATAAGTGAAGCCGCTTACACCGCTAGCGCGTAAACGTAATGGTCTAACATGCGTGCTAATGATTCACCGCGTTACCGGCAATATGAGAGTACGTAGACACACCTATTCGGCGCCCGTAGCTAATTCGATTCCCGTGGCGAAAACGGAATTATACGAGCAAGATTTTGAAAAGCAAATTTACTCTGGACGCGCCGGTATCAGGGTTAATGGACAGTCCGGCGGGGTGTACCGGTCCGCGGCAAGTTTCACGAAAATTGGCGAGTGCAAACAGCTTACCGCTCCAGTAACACCCGTAGAGCTCGACCCGCATGCAAACCGTCCGCCTGTGATAGCTGTAGGGCAGAAAACGGATCTTGCTCGCCCACAGAGGCGGCTCCAGCTCGTGCTTGGACTCCAAATACGTGTTCGTGTTACCCTGTATTACCTGAAAGCACAGAAGCGTCGGTTCAAGTACAGGACAATTTCAGTTTTCCGGTCCGGTACGACGTTTGAGCTTTACCAAGACCGGTCGGTGTGAGTCTCATTAGCTCTCTTTCGTAGCGGGCGTTACATTAACCTCTCGGACCACTCTGCGCATATTTGGGCACGTGCGGTCATTCCCGTTCTGTCTCGTTTTCTGTACCGAACATATCGAGCGATACAAGATGCGAGCAAGATGAGACAAAGAATAAAAAAACATCGGACACTTTTATACCAACACGATTTTTCCGAGATAGACACAAATGAAGTTTTAATATCTCTATATTTATATCCATCTCTTCTCGAAGCTGATGAAAATTTCATATTCACAATGTGATATCTTATGCATGCATAAAAGAAAAAAAGTTCAAATTGACAAACCGTCATCGCGATACTGATTCTCACGCTATTATATCTCACGATTTTGTTGGATTTAATGGATTTTTATGACGTTCTTTGCAAATCCACATACGAGACGTTCCTCTCGGGCGTATCAATCAGTCAACCTGGCAGGTAGCCGAAAAAGCATTCGGCGCCGTTACTTTATATCCCGTCGTTTGGAACGTCGTGATTGTCTGGCAGTGGTCGATGACATTTATATCGCTCGGACAATGCCTACGCTTCAGCAGCGCGAAATGCCGCTGTCCTCCCACCCTTGGACTTGGATATGTCCTGTCACAGAATGGACATCGCGTTCCACGAGGATCAGACGGGGGGCTAAGGACTAATTTCACCCTACATTCCACCACGTTAGGTCCGACGGAGAGACACAGCGCGAGAGAGAGAGAGAGAGAGAGAGAGAGAGAGAGAGAGAGACGGAGAGAAGAGAACGGCGAGAGATACAGAGAGAAACCAACACGAACGCAGGGAGAATTGAGGAGGGACAGGGCAGAGAGAAGGTTGATAGGGAGGAAGGGCGAGCGCGAGGGTTGAGTTAAACGTCCGCCGTCCGCATTCCCTGATTCCCCCCCGTCGAGGCGGCGTGTTGCCGTCGTTGACGACGTCTCTCTCTCTTCTCGAGCGTGCAGGGGCGACGGTGCAATATTGATTCCACGTTGTGGGTTTATGAATAAAATAAGCGGTTTATCCGACGGCGGTGTGTAGAGTGGTGTACGGTGTACAGAGGGTATACGGGGCGGTGTGGGCGGAGGCGGCACAGTCCCACGGGATCACGCGAAGTGGCGTTGCCCATGGTGAGTAGATAGCCAGGTACGTTTACGTACATAGGTAGGTATACGGCGGTGTGGCGCACACACAGACACAAATGTATACCGAGCTACATGGTACATATTATACAGAGTGTATCGGAAGTCGCGCACTTTCTCTCGTGTAATTACAGATCTCTTTCCAATAGGAAGCTCGAGAACGACTGTCTCGGACTTGACTTGACGGAGGGTTGATTATCGCATTATTTAAGATTGAAAATTAAACGACAGGAGAGAGTGCAAATAAAGATAACAAGAGATCGATTTTAAATCGAGTACGCTTTAACGGAGATCTCAATTTTACGCTTGATTGAACGCAAGAGGTTGACGCAAGATGTTTACGTTGAAACAACATTAAATATTAAAACAATTGCGATGAATAACAATTTCCTTGCGGATAAAATACAATATCGATTTTTAGCTTTTTTTTTTTTTTTTTCATTCAAGAAAAAAATATGTGAGATTTTTACGTACACACCGCGTATATCGATATACATGTGTTATACATGTGTTTTTCTTAAAGGCGTAAATGGCGCGTACCGTCGGTGTGCGCTCGCGGCTAAATCTGTATGAACATGTAAACGTGCGGTTTTGTTGTGTAGCGGACCGGCACGACACAATCGCGTGACATCGCGTTTTGCGGTAGACACGCATTCTGCGCACGTCTCATGGCCGAACATATGGTTCATGCCTTTAGCCACCTTCCACCACTTCTCTCTCCTCGGTATACCCATGCGCCGACCTCGACTACTATACTGCCGTCGACGTGTCGTGCTCTTCGCACGGAGACTCTAACGTGAAGGCGCACTAACCTGTATGTTCCTTCGGGACACCCTTACATATGTGTCGGGCTCGGCACACAATACCAGACAGGCTAAGCAGCTGTGACCTCCTTTCATCCTGCTTGCATATATCGATTCGAAACTTCACTTCCTATTTCCGGCCTGGCCCTTTGCAGTTCGCGATTGTTGCTTTCGAATCGTCGCTTCTACGACGGTTCTACAACTTTTTGAAGAACATTATTCGCCCAGCGAATTTCGAACCACTCATACAACCGGTTCTAAACAGTTTACGGTACACATATAGCGTACGTTCAATTACCGCCACCAAGACGTAAAAGCGTTTCATGGGTTTCCATCGGTACCCAACCCTTCCGAACGCTACCGCTCTCCAAACTCTCGCGCGATCGTTCTCTTTCTTTCTTCCTCTTTCTCTCTCTGTCTCTCTCTCTCTCTCTCTCTTTCTCTCTCTTCGCCTTCTAGAAACAGACACTTCGAAAGTACTCCCCAAGGCGCGCCCTTACCTCCTTACCAACGGATAGCTTACTGCACCCTAGGTGAAAAACCCTCCTGTCTCTTATTTGGGGGTCGATTCTTTCTCATTTCACGGCGACCAGGGACCCATTTTAGCTGCGCGTTTTGTTGCCGGTTTTCGCAGCGGCGTAGCATCGCGATCTTGCACCTCCGACATTTAACCGTTCTGCTCACTCTTTCGTGTAGTACAAGCACATATTTCTGAGATCGTTCGAAAGTAAAAGTCGCAATCACCACGCAAATAAATACGTGTTTCGATCGTTACGTAAATGTTTTGTCTGTTGGCATAACATATTGATATCCCGTCGGCTTTATTGATGTCACACATATAAATAAAAAATAAAACTAATTAATAAAGGAATATGAGATGAAATAATGTATATTATAAATATATTTCTTCCACGCGTGTTTCGGTAGCGATGTTTTCAGCCGTAAAATTACAACCGATGTGCGTCAAACTTGATTATGATACATAGAATATTATATAATACATATACAACACATCCAGTCAGTTTCAATTTATATTACACTATTAATTTGCATTAGATTGTTGATTCATGAACATTACCATTTTCACGATCTATTAATCATCTAATCATCATATGTAAATCGTCGAATTAAATGGTCTCCATTCTGGTTACATCTATCATAGTGTACTGTGTGTATGTATGTATATATATATATATATATATGATTCATGAACTATATATATAGCTATACGAATCGTTGAGTACAATGCTGATAAACGAGATAAGAGAGATCACACTGGATACGTACGTGACAGAAATGTTGTTTGGCGAGATAACGTGCGACCGAAATGGAATGTTCTTCAACCATCAAAATTAAGAAACGCCGACGGAATAGAAAATGAAAACAGCAAGCCATTTTTGCAGACGAATGACAACAGGACGACGTGGCCGAGCACGAGATGGGACACATCTGTCGGCTCTTATACGTCTATCGCGTAGCACTGGCGTTGCAAAATTATGCAGCTGGCACTTTCTCGAGACGAGAACACCGAGTGCACGGCGCCCGGTGGAAAGGGGTCGTGTACAATGTAAAAGAGTCAAGGAGATGCAGCGCACACCGGCCCGATGGAACTTTATCGTGACGGGTTCTTCAAATCGTAATAGCTGCATGCGCAGTTTACGGCGGAAGTGTATCTCGTAAATATGCATCTCCGATGACGTCACGATCGAAGCGCTATTTCGAGGATGCTAGATGTGGTTGTAAACTTTCTTTAAATTCAGATGGTTATATGTCAAAAGAGAGGAACGTTCGAGTCTTTCGTCGTAATCGTGACGTAAAAGTTAGCCATTTCAATTTTTTTTTTTTTTTTTTTTTTTCTACGTATCCCATAAATATATACTTTAATGCGCTTTGAAATAGTGCGGCAAAAAGAAGATTTCAAGTATATTCTCTTGAACTCGCGGCTCTATGCTCTATTCCAGCAACGGAGATATTCTTCATTTATGCGAAATCTCATATTTTCAATGCACTGGATGCAAATAACGTTTGTATCTAATCTGAATAAATTTCAAGTTTCCTCATATTTTATTCATTTTTTATATCTACTTTTTTATGATGCGCTATACTTTTTGTACTTAACTTCTCTCGTGAATCTTCGTTCCCTTTCTCTCTCTCTTTCTTTCTTTTTTTTTCCTCATTCACGTAACATGTAGATATTTCATTATCTCATTGAAATCAAAATTTTCAAGATAGATAGATATTACGATAATTTGGAAGTTTTGAGCAGCTTGAGAAGAAAAAATTTGATGAGCCAAGCTAAACGCGAGCCGCTGCTTCTTTCTCGTGCGCGATTTTGAAGTGTTCATAACTTATGACCGCGCTCGTTTTTTTGTCTGTCGAAGTGCCGTATAAAGCGAATTTATTGCGTCGACGCATGCATGTCGTGACGATATGCGGCTGCCTCCGCGAATATTTTCGTGCACTTCTCTTGAATAACGCTATTGGAATTTCGCTCGTCGATGATGGCTCGTCGATATTTTTAGAACGTTCTGCCTATTACCGAATATATTTCTGCTACTGTCCGTCAGCCTTTTATTTGCAGAAAATGTTCGCTTTATTCAAGCCACATTTGCGTTGTTTAAAGGAAACTGTTCAGTCATTCGATCAAACAGAGAAAAAAATTTTATATATATAAAAAACACTATTTTTGGTATTTTTGTTTCCTCACACATTTGTCATTGCGCTAACCGTATATCTTCTTTATTTTTAGCTTTCAAAGAGAAAGCCAACATAATCCGCAAGATATAAATTTTATGTATAGAAATCTCTGATTTATAAGCTTCTTTTAATCAGGATATATATGTATATGTGTATGTGTTTTTTTTTTTTACAAGAAATACTTTGCATAAAAGAGCTTCTTGTGAAAAACGAAAATCAAGATAAGAGGATACGTAAATATATAACGGACGACGTTTTAA